ACTTCAGTGTCCATAAAGTTTTATTGGAACACAACTGTGATCATTTATTTACATAGTGTCTATGGCTGCTTCCCTGTTACAATGGCCACGGTGAGTAGTCGCAACAGAGACCATATGGCCCGCCAGCCTAAAATAGTTCCCATCTGGCCCTTCACAGAATAAGTTTGCCAGCCCCTGGTATAACCAAATTGCTGCAGAAGCCTCCTTACTTAGAAATATTCAACCAAACCCCTGCCCTTCCCCTTATTCACTCCATTTCCAAATGGAGTACCAGATTGGAAATTCTTTTAATTAACAAACTGCCAATACTCCCTGGAAAGTTTGCAAGTGCACACTGATCTCCCCACTTCCATTTTATTTGACTTAATCACACCTTATCCCAGCATGTAAGAGCAAGTAAGGAGAAGGTGGAACTAGGCAAGGAGGGGGAAGGAAAGAGCCAAAGAAGGCCAGCCGTGGTGGCTCATGCCTATGATCCCAACACTTTGGGAGGCTGAGGCAGGTGGATCACTTGAGGTCAGGAGTTCAAGACCAGCCTGGCCAACATGGTGAAACCCTGTCTCTACTAAAAATACAATTCGCTGGGCGTGGTGGCACGTGGCAATAATCCCAGCTACTTAAGAGGCTGAGGCAGGAGAATCACTTGAACCCAGGAGGCAGAGTTTGCAGTGAGCCAAGATTGTGCCACTGCATTCCAGCCTGAGCAACAGAGGAGATTCCGTCTCAAAAAAAAAAAAGAGAGAGGGAGCCGAAGAAGAGAACAAGGGAGGCAGTGAAAAGGCTAAGCAATGTCATAAAGAAGTTTGTTCCAGACAAGAAAATCCATCAAAAGCCAGAAAAGTAAACACTTAACAGAAATGTATAAATACTCCTGCTTTTTCTGCACTGACAAACATATCATCTCCTCCTCAAGAAAGCTTTAACAGTTTTGACAAGATGGCAGCAAGACACAATAATGCCAGTTAGGGAAGAGGATCAATCCAGCAACTACTGTTGAAAAAGTGTAATATTTACTCAGCTTATGAACTAACCAGTTGACAGAGATGAACTCAAAACTCTTGACTGTCCTGGCAAACAAAGCTACAGAGTTAGAACTATCTAAAAGAAGTCACAGAATCCCTTAAGAAAGAAAGAAACAGCAATTTTTTAGCATTAAAATTGGAATGTTGGAAGCTATAAAAATCAACAAGGACAGACCTGGTAGAAAAAAAGACAAGGACATCATTCAAAGATTTTTATTTTATAAAGCTACTGCAAATCAAATATTTAAAGATTTTTTTAAAAGCCTGCACCTTCACTTGATTAACATGTCTTATCCGATTAATAGAAAGACAAGTCCTTGTGATGTTAATACCAGAGAACAGCTGCAAAACCTTGGTACCAAAGAACCTCATAGCAAGATTCTGAAGCTCAGAAACAGGGATTTCTGAAAGACCAGAATAAGCCTAGCAAAGCATTTCTCCATTTTAAGGCAGAGCAGAGATGAAGACCACAAGAGCACAAGTGTTTGCCAAAGTCAAGTCCCATTGGGATTTGATACAGAGGGGAGATTTCATCTAAACAGGACTCACATAGGGATGTGAAAAGATGAAAAATCTCATTTCCCAAGATAAAAGAGAAAAATCACAAAAGCAAAAAGCAAAGCAGTACAAGCAAAAGGAAGAGTAAAGACAAGCAAAAGGAAGAATAAAGCCAAGTGCGGTGGCTCACACCTGTAATCCCAGCACTTTGGGAGAATGAGGTGGGTGGATCACTTGAGGCCAGGGGTTCAAGACCAATCTGGCCATCATGGTGAAACCTCGTCTCTACTAAAAATACACACACACACACACACACACACAAAATTAGCCCTGTGTGATGCTGATGCCTGTAATGCCAGCTAGTTGGGAGGCTGAGGCGTGAGACTCACTTGAACCCAGAAGGTGGAGATTGCAGTGAGCAGAGATCACGCCACTGCACACCAGCCTGGGCAATAGAGTAAGATCCTGTCTGAAAAAAAACAAAAACAAACCAACAAAAGAATAAAGCACTTGCAACACTGTCTATACCCTGGTCCATTTAGTATCGGCTCATGCTCTTGACTCTCTCAATTCAGAAGTTCTGTCTTTCACATTTGTGGGAGTTTGTTTACAAGTCTACTCACAATCAGAGAAGGATGTCCCAGTGGCTTACTGTCAATTATTAACTGCCACAAATCAAATAACAAAAGAGGCAAAAGGAAAAAATTAAAAGAAAGAATTCTAACCAGTACTCCTCAAAACTGTCAAGATCACAAAAAACAAAGCAAGTCTGAGAAACGATCACAAGAGACATGATGATAAAACGTAATGTGGTATCCTGGATGAGATCTGGGACAGGAAAAGCCAAAGAGACCTGAAGAAAACACTGACCTTGGTTAATAATAATGTATCAATATTGATTAATTAATTGTGCCAGATCAACCATTACTAACACAAGAGGCTAATATAGGGAAAACTGGAAGAGCACAGGGTGGTAATATCAGACCTCTGTACTAACTTTATAGCTTTTCTGTAAATTTAAAAATATTCCAAAGAGAGGAGGGGAAATGAAGAGAGGCTGGTTAAAGTTGCAGCTATGTAGGATAGATAGGTATAGAGCTCTATGGTACAGCATGAAGACTGGAGTTAATAATATTGTATTGCATACTGGAAATTTGTTAAGAGAGTAGATTTCAGGTGCTTTTACCACCACCACCACCAAAAAAAGATAAGTATGTAAGGAGATGGATAGGTTAGTCGGCCTGACTATAGTAATCATTTCATTATGCCTATGTATATTAAAATATCATGTCATACGCTTTAAATATGTGCAATAAAAAGCAAGATTTTTTTAATTTAAAAAAAATTTAGAAGAAAAAAGTATTCACTGAGTGAACATTTCACAAGTGCCTACACATCCATCAGCCACTGTCCCAGAAGTCTCACTTGAAATCTGGAGTTGCAGCGAGTTTGCCTGTCAAAACTAGCCAGTGGCTCACTACAGATAGGGAACAAAGTGTCCCCTTGACCTTGCAATGGCTGAAGGTGGTGTTTTCCAAAGTGAAATTCACTGTGAGATTTAATAGGTGTTAATTTAAAAGAAAAATAAACAACAACAACAAAAAAAGAGAAGGTGGTCTTTGATTTTTAAAAAAATTAGAAAAATTAGATTAAAACAAATTAAACATACTTCTTTACTACTGCACCTCTCATAACCCTTATTATGCTTTTGCACATCGCAACTACATTGAACTATACAATGTAGCATTTCCCAAATTGATTTGATTATAAAACTCATTTATTGCAGAATACCTGTTGGGACTAGCTTCCTCCGAAGATACTTTGGAAATCACTAATTTGTGCAGCCTGAAAGAGGACTAGGATGCCAAAAACTGCTAAACAAAGAGCGCGATACAGTAAAGTTAAAAGAAACACAATGAAAACAATCTAATTAGCCATTACTGATTTTTAACTCGTTGTTTCAGAGATCTCTTGCCAAACTAATTGCTGAAAAATTCTCATATGATGCCCACAGCCTGAAACAAGAGTCAAATGGACTGTGTATCTTGTTATATGTATCTGGATGAGGAAACTATTAACAGTAGGCTCAGTCGACATCTTCAGTTGCTAAACAAAAGGCATTTGTATCTCAGCCTTTTGAAAAGTTATACCAATTTGGGGGTGGACAAGGAATATTTGGTTGAGATTAGTTAATGCAGAGATGAATAAATCCTCCTTATCCTGAAGAACAAAGACAATTCAATTTCCAAATAACTGCAGACACCCAAATGTACCTTGGACAGCTGGAATATTTAGAACCCATATATGATAAATCATACATTTTCTTCTTTTCCACATGCAACCTTCTCAAGTCTAAACTGCATTTTAATTTAATCAGTTTGGGCAATTATATCTCTTCAGCTGAGATTAAAGTAAAAATAGGTTCAGACCAGGCAGGGTTCTTTTGCAAATTTGTTTCAAAATATAGCAGATGATAGGTATAAAACTTGAATCTTGACAACACAGCTTTGTTAAGCGACACAGTAGTAGCATTTTTATCATCCTGTGACTGCTTTTAGCACAGTCCTTAAAGAATTGAAAAATTCTTGCTTGGGATGCATTTAAAGTAGCAGAAAAATAATTGTTGAGAAACAGAAGACCTAAGACAGCAGAATAGAGCAAGGAATCAGAACTTAGCAGAAAAAGCACAGGCTTTTTGGAGTGTGACAGATGTTGGTTTGAATCCAAATTCTTCCCTTCAAAGCTGAGTAATCTTGGGCAAGTCACTTTTGGAAACTCAGCTTCCTCATCAGTAAGATGGTGATAATCTCATCCGCCTTGCAAGGCCACTGTAAGTAACAGAGTTAATGCACAGAAAGTGTGCCTTTAACAGTACCAGACACATAACATAGTACTAGTGCTAACATAATAGAGGTAGTATATCTCAGTAAATGGTAATTATAATAAGAAAGTACCATCACCCATCTTAAATAGCAGTTTGTTTGGCAGGGATACAAGCCAATATTGGAATACAAACATAAAATAACAAAAGCCAGGTTAAAAAAGAAATGCAGGCCAACTAAAGTAAAGGCTGCATGGAAAGAACAACTTTATTTGCATCAGTAGAGTTTTCTGGAAGGGAGGCAAGACCAGTAAACTTTTGGCGATTTGACAAAATTGAACTCAGTTAAAATGGTTCTGCTTCAGTCAAGTTTGTAAGGTGGGCTAACCTGTCATCTCCAGAACAAAGTTTCCTAAAACTAGTACATTCCTGGACTAAAGCAAGAAGACGATTGGATCTTCATTAATGATACCATGAAAGTGAACAAAGGAAATGTTTCCCAAATTGCATTCTGGGTGTTATTCAGAAAAAAAAATATGGAATTAATATAATGTAGGAGCTGTTGGGTTAAACAAAGTTAAACCAGTTTCTAGGCTTTTTTCCCAAAGCAAATTGATAAAAATTTAAACAGTAGGGAAGAACATAGGACAAAAAGTAAGATTTCTGCTCACTTCAGCTCTATCCTTCAGTTCTTCACAGAATCAGCAATTGTTACTAGTAGTTTCTTGTGTATCCTTCCAAAACCACTGCATGTATATATGAGGAGATCTCAAAAAGTTTATGGAAAAATGAAATTAAAAGATAAAAATAAAAATCACAAACTTTATTTCTTGACATAAGCTCTATCAAGGTCAAGCCACTTTTGTAAGTGATGATACCAATCATTCAGTTCATCTCTAGAGAACTGAGAATCCTGGGAGTAACCATGTCATGTAGTTTCATATGTATATATATATAGATAGATAGATAGATACATACATACATACATATACATATCAAACTTTATATGTATATGAAGTTTTACACGCCTTTTATAGTTTTGTTTTTAGATTAGGAAACAAAAAGTAGTCAGAAGGAGCCAAATTAGGACTATAAGGTGGATGCTTAATGATTTTCCATGGAAACTCTCACAAAATTGCCCTTGTTTGATGAGAGGAATGAACAGAAGCATTGTCATGGTGGAGGAGGACTCTCTGGTAAAGCTTTCTTAGGCATTTTTCTGCTAAAGCTTTGGCTAACTTTCTCAAAACACTCTCATAATAAGCATATGTTGTCACTCTTTGGCCCTCCAGAAAGTCAACCAGCAAAATGCTTTCAGCATCCCCCAAAAAACTGTTGGCATACCTTTGCTCTTAACCAGTCCCTTTTCGCTTTGACTGGACCACTTAACCTCTCTTGGTAATTGCTTTGATTGTGCTTTGTCTTCAGGATTGTAAGGTGAAGTCATGTTTCATCTGTTGCTACAATTTTTCAAAGAAATGCTTCAGGATTGATCCACTTGTTTAAAATTTCCATTGAAAGCTCTGCTTTTGTCCGCAATTGATCTGGCTCAATGGTTTTAGCACCCATCAAGGGGAAAATTTGTTCAACTTTAATTTCTCAGTCATAATTATATAAGCTGAATCAACTGAAATGTCTATGGTGTTGGCTATTATTTCTGCTGTTACTCATCGGTCCTCAATTAGAGCATGTACAAGATGATTAATTTTTCTCTAAAAAAGTTGATGTGGATGATCTGCCCATTTACCGTGGGGTATATCTAGCACATCATCTTGTCTTTTCTTAAAATGAGTTATCCATTTATAAACTACAAATTTCTTTGGAACATTGTTCCCATAAACTTTTCATAAAGCATCAATGGTTTCACTATTCTTCCACCCAAGCTTCACCCTAAATTTGATGTCTGTTCTTGCTTCTATTTTAGCAGAATTCATGTTGCTCTAATAGGGGGTTCTATTCAAACTGATGTCTTATCCTTCTTACTGCCTCAAACTAGATTCTGTTCAGACATGTTATAACAAGTTAGTGCAAGTTAATTTTGGTATAATTTTTTAAATCTATGCATAGTTTACTTCATAATATGCATTTTCCATGAACTTTTTGAAGAGCTTTCATATAAACAATTTGGTAAATCAAGCTATAATTTGTATAGCTAGATATGGATAAATACATTACAAAATGATAGTAAACTATACAGACTTCTGCATTTTCCCTTGTTCACTTATATATCTTGGGAAAATATCAGTTCATTTAGATCAGTGATTCAGTTGGATACATTAAATATACCAAAAAATAGATTAGTGGCTCTCAACCTGGAATAATTAGTCTGTAGACTTTTTAATTGTCACAACTGGGAGAGTGACAGAGCAGGTTGCTACTGGCAACTAGTAGGCAGCATTTACCAAACTCCCTACCCACTAAATACCCTTTAAATAATGGTTAGAGTTTAGGGATGCTGCAAAACATCCTACAATGCACAGGACAGCCCCACAACAAAGATTTATTAGGCCCCAAATGGCAATGTTAAGAAACCCTGATTTCTGTCCAGTCATTTTTAAATGACTATCCAGTCATTTCACTGCATAGATTAATCATAATTTATATAACCAGTATAATATTGGTGGTCATTTAGGTGTCCTTTACCAGGAAAAAAAAAAAGCGGAAATGAATATGCTTGTGCAAATGCAGAAGCATATCAATAAGATAACATTCTGTAAATAAAATGGGGAGGGGGCGTCAAACTATGTGCACATTTTTATCTTTTATAAATAGTGTCACTTATCCTCCAAACACAGTATAGCAATTTACACTGCCTTCAACAATGCATGCAAATTCCTTTTTTCTGATATCCTACCCCAAACAGTATAGTAACATACTTTTTGATATTTGCCAATCTAATTGGTTAAAATAGTGTTGTCTAAATTTGCACTTACTTAATTATAAGCAAAGTTGAACTTTTAAAACTATTTGTTATTTTTGTGAACTATTTGATTAATTTTATTTGACACAGGACTTTTCAGAGCCTTTAATATGTTTGTCTATATATGACACTCCAAGAGGTAGCATTCAGCAATTCCCAGTCTTTCATCTTTGTAACTTAATTTTTTTCATAGGTCATTTTGAGAAAATATGGTTATGTAAAACAGTGAGAATTACTGAATATAAGACATCTGGATGAGACTGACATATAGAAAGAATTTATACAATTTCAGTGAATGCATAACAGTGACATCAATTATTTGGTGGTATATCTAGGAGACAGGGACACTGCTAACCCATGGTTGCAAGTAAGAGCAACTGAACTTGAATCTTACAGAACTCTAATACTCCTTTATCAAATGAATTAATCAAGATTATTTTCCTTGCAGGTGAGTGAAATTCATAGAAATGATTAAAACTGATTTTTTTTTGAGATGGAGTCTCACTCTGTCACCCAGGCTGGGGTGCAGTGGCGCAATCTGGGCTCACTGCAACCTCTGCCTCCCAGGTTCAAGTAATTCCCTGCCTCAGTGTCCTGAGCAGCTGGGATTACAGGCGCCTGTCACCATGCCCAGCTAATTTTTGTATTTTGTAGACATGGGGTTTCAGCTTCTCGGCCAGGCTGGTCTTGAACTCCTGATGTTGTGATCCACCCACCTTGGCCTCCCAAAGTGCTGGGATTATAGGAGTGAGCCCCCGCACCCAACCAAAATTGATTTTTTTTTAAGCAAAGAACTTATTTGCTTATATAAATAAACCTTGGGAAGGGTTTCTATGCAGCTGTGCCTCAAGTATAACGGGTGCCAAGAACTCGAACTCTGTGAGTTTTCTCTCTTGACCCTTCAGTTTTATTCTCTCAACGGAGGCACCCGCTAGCTGCCTACATCTGGTGTTTCACTGTTTCACCACCAGAGAGAGACTGCAACACTGGCTCTCATATTCCAGGTTCAGAAGTACCAGGAAAGTCCTGGATTATTGCCTATTCCTGTGCCAAACAGCAGTGCCAAGATCAGTAGCCCTGAGAAGACTGAGTACTCATTAGTGTCACGTGATAGGAGTAGGAGTTTCGGCCAGAAGAGAGACAAAGGGAGGTCTCTCTCACCAACACGTGACATGACATTCTTTGCCTCCATGTTAACGAGAGACGAAGAAACATTCCTAGAGAACACAGTCATCGTGAACCAAGTGGCACCTGACAAATAAATTTAAAAGAACGTAACATCCATGTCCTTGTGCAGTTTACACAGACTTGCCAATGTCTAAAGCCACATTAGGCACTGGAGCAAAGCTCTCAATTGACTGGATTTGGACAGGTGAAGAAATATGTATCAGAAGGATTGGCAGCTGTAGTTCTGGGGCAGAATGTAAGCTTTCATGAGTTTCGTAAGAGATCCACATTCAAAGACCTACAATGGCATGGAATGAGGAAACTGGCCTACTCAGTAACATTTATAACATTTCAAATCTTACTAGTTTTCTATTTGCTGCTGTAACAAATTACCACAAACGTAGCATCTTAATATAAATGTATTATCTTACAGTTCTGGAGGTCCAAAATGGGTCTTACTGGGGGGAAATCAAGGTGCTGGCAGGCCTGCATTCCCTTCTGGAGGCTCTAGGAAAGACCTATTTTCTTGCCTTTTCCAGCTCCTAGAAGCTGCTCATGTTCTTTGGTTCATGGGTCCCTTCCCCAGCTTCAAAACCAGCAACAGTAGGTCCAGTACCTCTCACATCCCATACCTCTGACCTCACTGCTGTTGTCATCTCTCTCTCTCTCTCTTTCTCTCTCTCTTTTTTTTTTTGAGATGGAGTCTTGCTCTATTGCCCAGGCTGGAGTGTAGTGCAGTGGTGCGATCTCGGCTCACTGCAACCTCTGCCTCCTGAGTTCAAGATATTTTCCTGTCTCAGCCTTCCAAATAGATGGGATTATAGGCACGTGCCATCATGCCCTGTTAATTTTTTGTATTTTTAGTAGAGACAGCGTTTCATCGTGTTAGCCAGGATGGTCTCCATCTCCTGACCTCATGATCCGCCCACCTTGGCCTCTCAAAGTGCTGAGATTACAGGGGTGAGCCACCGCGCCCGGCCATATCTCTTTCTTTCTGACTTGTATTCTGCCTCCCCCTTCCACCTTTAAGGGCTCTCGTGATTACACTGAGCCCACATCGAGTATTCAGTATAATTTCCCAATCTTGAAGTCAGCCAATTAGCAACCTTTATTCTACCTTCTATCTTAATTTTCTTTTGCCATGGACCTACCACTTTCACTGGTTCCAGGCCTTAGGACACAGGCTTTCCCGGGGGAGGCATTATTCTGCCTACCACAAATTAAGAACTTAGGAGCAGGCATGACAGGGCACATCTGTAGTCCCAGCTACTTGGGAGGTCGAAGCAGAAGGATTGCTTCAAGTCCAGCCTGGGCAACGCAGTGAGACCCCAACTCTAAAAAAATTTTTTAAAAAAGAAAAAGAAGAAACTTGGGCTGGGCGTGGTGGTTCACACCTGTAATCCCAGCACTTCAGGAGGCCAAGGCGAACCAATTGCTCGAAGCCAGGAGTTTGAGATCAGCCTGGCCAAGATGGCAAAACCCTGTCTCTACTAAAAACACAAAAATTAGCTGGACATAATGGCTTGTGCCTGTAATCCCAGCTACTTGAGTGGCTGAGGCATGAGAACCACTTGAACCCAGTGAGGCAGAGGTTACAATGAGCTGAGAGGGCACCAGTGCACCCTAGCCTGAATGACACAGTGAGATTGCCTCAAAGAAAAAGAAAGAAAAGAACTAAAAGACAGCATCACTATTTTTCTCCTGAACCATCAAAAGGACAACGGGCATTTGAAATACTGATTATCAATTATACTAAATACTCCAAACATTTAAGGTAAATGTCCAAAATGTCAATGTTTAAAATGTTCAGGGACCAGTTTACATGGACATGGAAAGGTAAGTTTCTCTGCAAACTAACTCCTAAGAGGCAGTGAGTTTGATTTCTCAAAAATTCAGGTTAACATTTCTCAAACTGGTTACTTATTTTTTTAATAATTCAGGAAATTATTCACATTGCTCAATTTCCATTATATCCTCCCAGTAAAAGTAGCAATCATATACAATATAAATCATAGCATCCCATAGAATGCAGGCATTAAAAATTTTAAAATAAAATACCCATAACAGAAAACCGGAGGGCAAAAGTTTTTATAAATTATATTAAAATTATTAAAGGATTATCCTTTTCTTAGTGGATATGGGAAGCTTCTTCATAATAATGCTGACATTATTCCCTCTTTTCTTGACTGCAAAGCTTATGCTTAAAGCAGTCTGAAAATGTAAATATAATGTTGAAAGAGTTTCCTGAAGATACAACATGAAATGAGAAAAATAAGTTAGTTTATCCATCACCCCATTGGAAACTTTTCTAAGAGTATGAGTAAAGAAATACCCTCAGACACTGTTAGTGGGAGTATATATTGGTATAATCTTTTTGGAGGGCAATTTGGCATATCTATAAAAATATTTATAGATACATATCTTTTAACTGTACAATTATCTGATAGAAATCTATCCTTATAGAAAAACACAAACACATGAGAATGAATATATGTACTATAATATTTGTTGTAGCATTATTTATAATAACAGCAGGAAAAATAGAGATAATCATCCACAGATGAATGGTTAAATTATATGCACCAGTTTCTTGGAATATTATATATATTTTTTTTACTAGAGAGAGAGTTATAATGGACAAATTATAATGAAATGTATAAAGAATTATAGTGGAGATCAGGTGTGGTGGCTCACACCTGTAATCTCAGCACATTGGGAGACCAAGGCGGGTAAATCACCTGAAGTTGGGAGTTTGAGACCAGCCTGGCCAACATGGTGAAACCTCACCTTTACTAAAAAATACAAAAATTAGCTGGGCATGGTGGCATGCGCCTGTAATCCCAGCTACTCAAAAAACTGAGGCAGGAGAATTGCTTGAACTGGGAGGTGGAGGTTTCAGTGAGCGAGATCATGCCACTGCACTCCAGCCTGGGCGACAAAGTGAGACTCCATCTCAAAAAAAAAAAAAATTATAGTGAAAATTCAGTGGATTAAAAGAAGTTAGACCCAATTTAAAAATGTGCAAAGGGGAAAACCATCCCAGCAACCTGACCACAGCTGGTCTTCCCTGGACACCATGAACCACACTGTCTAAACCTTCTTCACTCCTGCCAATACTGACCATTCCCCCAACTATGAGATGCTGAAGGAGGAGCACGAGGTGGCTGTGCTGGGGAATGCCCCACAACCCTGCTCCCCCAACATCCATCGTGATCCACATCTGCAGCGAGACCTCAGTGCCCGACCATGTCATCTGGTCCCTTTTCAACATCTGTTCATAAACTCCTACTGCCTGGGCTTCATAGCATTCACCTACTCTGTAAACTCTAGGGACAGGAAGATGGTTGGCGACCTGACCAGGGTCCAGGTCTATGCCTTCACTGCCAAGTGCCTGAACACTGGGGCCCTGTTTTGGGCATCATCATGGCCATTCTGCTTATCATCATCTAGTATTGATCTTGCAAGTCCATCGATAGAGCAGGAGGCATCATCCAGGCCAGGAGCTCTGCCCATGACCTGTTTCCCACGTACTCCACCTTCCATTCCTTGCCCTGCCCCCCCGGAGCCAAGTCCTGTATCAGCCCCACACTTTTCTACAATGGCATTCAATAATGTGCACATGTTCCTGGTTTAAAAAAAATGTGCAAAGGATTTGATAGATATTTCATCAAAGGAGATATACAAATAGCCAATAAACACGTGAAAAAATGCTCCATATTACTATTCATTAAGAAATTTAAATCAAAACCTCAAGGAGATGTTACTTCACACCAAGTAGGATGGCTAAAATAAGAAAGACAAATAGTAACGAGTGTTCATCTGCATGTGGAGAAAATGGAATCCTCATTCATTGCTGGTGGGAATGTAAAATAATTCAACCATTACTAATGGGCCCAGGTTTCTGGCTTCTTTTGGGACAATGAAAATGTTTCAAAATTAGATTGTAATGATAGTTGCAGAACTCTGAGTACACTAAAAAACGCTGAATTATGCACTTTAAAATGATACATTTTATGGTAAGTAAATTGTATCTCAATAAACATGTTATACCAAGAAAGAGTTCAGAGAATCATGTGGTGGATCTGCCCCAAGACCATTAAGTAAAACCAAGCCCTTTGATAATAATTTACATTTACTGAGTGCTTATTAAGGACCACACTTTTTCTAAGTATTTTATATGTATTAACTCATTTGATCATTTCAATATCCTATAAGTTAAGTATCCTTGTCCCTATATGTAAAGAAACTGAGATGCCCATGATCACATAATAGTAAAAAGCAGAACTGGGATCTGAACTCAGGCTATCTACCTCCCAGCCTGTATGTCTTAAGCACTCACTATTTGTTCTCTTAACCACTACACTGTACCACACTGCTTCTCTGAGCATATGGTGTCCATTACTAGAACACAACAATCTGGAAACCCAATTAAAATATTACTAGGTATTTTAAGCAAAGAATTATGGTTATTGATATTTTACTCTAAAGAGCTGTATATTTTGGCAGAAGTCAACATTATAACCAAGAAGAATCAGCCTACTGTCAAAGCCTGGTTTGCCAAAATATGAGAAATGATAAAACAGAACAAGTCATCACAGATTAAAGCCCCATCCTATCCAAGCCCAACAGGCATTTGAATGTCTGTTATAAGCCCTTTCAAATTTTTATCCAAAGCAAAACAGTGCAACCAGAAAAGACCAGATATTACACATGCCATAACATTGACTTCTGTAGGATAAACAGTGATTTGACATCAAGAAGAAATATAAACATTCTCATCATCTGCTTTGATATATATGCTATTAGAATTCCTACGCCATTTTCTAAAAATTTACCTTTTTCTTTTGTTACTAGTGCCATTGGGCTAATCTGGTGGGGAAAACTGAAGTATATATGATAGGTTAGAGAAGATTTCAAAAGCATTTCTTTCCTTCACAAAATAAAAGGCAACAAATATCTGTTAAGCAGATTGCAAAGGGGTAAGGTGGTAACAATTCATGCTTTATAATAGAAGTGACATTTCTTTGCTCTTTTGTTTTAAAATTAAACTACAGGTCCTGCTTGACTGATATTCAAAACCCTAATGCTTTGTGACTTATTGGCTGCACAAAGTACTATATTTTCAAAAAGTGATGTTGATGTTGACTCTAAAATTTTCCTACATACAAGGGCACATTCTCATTTCTCTCACCCTGGAGAAGGATTTTCATGGGATAAAAGGGCGGGGAATTGGAGTAAAAACTTCATGGGGGCTAAGTTAATTGGCTTGGAGGTATACCCAGATTAAATTCCAACTGCAAACAAGTCATCACAATCTTAGTCCTGAACAAGGTGTGTGCCTGTCAGAGATGTGGAAAAGAAGAAAAGTGGTAACCAGCTGATCACCGATCTCTCCCCACTCCCTTCTATGTCTCACTTACCCCTAGCCCCAGGCCTCATTTCCACCATGCTGCCTTCTGATGCCTCCCTACATCTGTTCTACACTCCACCACCTCTGAGTGTTGGTTCATGTTGCCCACATTCCTGGAGATGCCTTCCTTTTTCTATGGAACGCTGTCTCCCTCTCCCAACAACTCCCAACATACATACTCCCCACCAAACCTGCTTAATTCCAGGGTATTTCCATTAACTGTCTTTCATTCATTTGATAATCTTATTTGACTAGCATCCACTCATTTGGAGGAAAAACTACAGGCCAAACACTGCCAAAACAACCTTTCAAAGACTATTGATTTTCTCCAAGGAATTCTGTCATTATAATAGCGATTATGTATATTTATATCATAACTCTGCCTCACTCTGTTCTGTTACTCGATGAGACTTGCCTGATTTTTGGACCTTAAGCACTCTGGACTCAGGCATACAACTGATACTCAGTAAATTCTTGTTAACTTACTGAGAGATTGGGCTGTCAAGAATGACTATTCTAGCTACAGTCCATGGTAAGAGAAAGTAAATGTCCTTTGTCTCCCATTTCTGAGCCACATGAATCCAACTGACTTTTGGTCCATCATTCTCCCTCCTTCAACCTCCTCCCCAAAAGAGATATAAAATATTTATCTCCAAGAAGTAACCACATATCCCATTCAATTTTGGCCAGAAGTAGGAACCCTCAGACCCCAAATTCTAGTACATGGCCTAAAAGGCTGCTTATTACCTGTGAGCTGAAATGAAATTTCAGAGTGGTAGACAAGGAGACAGGATTTGAGTCCCAGTGCTGCTACAGATGAACTATGACATCCTGAACAAGTCATAATTTCTTGGAGGTTTAATGTCCTCATCTGTAATATGGAAATGCTGGTGCCTTCAGAAGTCTCTTGTGAGGATGAAATAAGGGACTGATAAGAAGGTTCATTGAAGTGAGATCATCTGAGGTTAGGGGTTCGAGACCAGCCTGGCTAACATGGTGAAACCCCATCTCTACTAAAAATACAAAAATTAGCTGGGAGTGGTGGTGAGTGACTGTAATCCCAGCTACTTGGGAGGCTGAGGCAGAAGAATCGCTTCAACCCAGAAGGTGGAGGTTGCAGTGAGGTGAGATCACACCACTGTCCTTCAGCCTGGGTGACAGAGCGAGACTCTGACTAGAAAAAAAAAAAAAAACTGCAAAGGCTTATAAAAAAAATATTGAGAAGGCTTTTCAGCCCTTCTCTGGTTCACTTACCACTTTGCAAAAATCCCCAAAAAGCCTTCCTAAAACGAATTCCACATCAGTGACTCAGACCTTTAATCTTTGCCTTTTGGCACTACAATTTTAAATCAAACTTCACAAAAGAAAATCATCACTGACTTAACCTCCTGCAATCTGGCTTTTGTTCTCAGAAGTCTAATGAAGCTGTATCTTGAAAGATCATCTGTGTACTCAATTTGCTGAGTCCAAGGATTTTTTCTCTCACCAGCCTGCTGGCCATAGGAGGCTATTGATCATTTTTCTCTCTCCCTTTCTGTAAGATAGCAATAGTGTGATTTTTCTCCTACTTCTCAGGCCCTCAGGAACTCGGAGGTTCAGTAGAAAAAGGAAGGCATCTCCAGGAATGTGGGTAACATGGACCAACACTCAGAGGTGGTGGAGTGTCGAACAGATGTAGGAAGGCATCAGAAGGCAGGATGGTGGATATGAGGTCTGGGGCTGGGGGAAGACTTCATAAGAATTTACTGAGTATCAGTTGTATGCCTGAGTCCAGAGTGCTTAAGGTACAAACATCAGGCAAGTCCCATGGAGTAACAGAACAGACTTGTTGCCTACACTCCCTCCTCCTTCCACCTCCTTACTGTGGTATTCTCTGATCTTCTCACTTCCATTCTCCTCTTGCATGTTCCACTTCCCCTCATGGTCTCACTGACCCTCATGACTTCAGTGACCAGTTTCTAAGCAGAATGGCCCAGTTTCTAAGCAGAATGGCCCAGTGTGTAGCTCATCATCACTGACTTTCGCTGGAATCAGTCACACCTTTACCCCCTGCAATCTCCCCATCTCTCCCCGAGTCTGGTGGGTGCTCCCACATGTATGGGCTGGCATCAGCTCGACTGTGTCATGCCTAACATAAACCTTATTTTCTCCCTTAAATGGCTCTTCTTCCTGCTTTCTCCCTCCCTCAACCCACATATGTAGTTAGTTACCCACCCAACTCCAGTAGTTCTCTTTTGCAACATCTTGTCCAAGTCCTCATGACTTCATGGAGAACTACAGTAACAGCCCTGCATCTATCTTGCATCTCTAGTGGGCTTTCCTTATTGATAAAAGGGGGAGGATACAAGTTTTGATCTGCTGTTTACTCACGCAATAGCTTTTAACATTATAACATTTTACCATTTTTTTTCTTTTCTTTTTTTTTTTTTTTTTGAGACAGAGTCTCACTCTGCCCAGGCTGGAGTGTAGTACTGGGATCCCAGCTCACTGCAACCTGCGCCTCCCCAGTTCAAGTGATTCTCATGTCTCAGCCTCCCAAATAGCTGGAACTACAGGCACCTGCCACCATGCCCGACTAATTTTGTTTGTTTGTTTATGGTAGAGACTAAGTTTCCTGGTTTCTCTATGTTGGTCAGGCTGGTCTCAAACTCCTGGCCTCAAGTGACCCGCCCACCTTGCCTCCCAAAATGCTGGGATTACAGGCATGAGCCACCACGAAGGGCCAAAAATTTTTCTTTGTTTTTTCTTCTTCTTTTCTTTTTAATTTTTTTTTTTTTTTTGGAGATAAGGTCTCGATCTGTTGTCCAGGCTGGAGTGGAGTGGCATGACCATAGCTCACTGCAGCCTCATACTCCTGGGTTCAAGCGATCCTCCCACCTCAGCCTCCCAACTAGCTGAGACCACAGGTGTGCACCAAAATACCAGGTTAACTTTTTAACTTTTGTATAGAGACAAGGTCTCATTATGTTTCCCAGGCTGGTCTCGAACTTCTGGCTGCAAGCAATCCTCCCATCTCAACCTCCCAAAGCACTGAAATTACAAGGATGAGCCATCTACCTTGGCCCTTTATGGAAATGTTTTATAAGTACCACATTTCTGCTAAGCATTTTGTGTATATTGTCTTAGGAGGAAGGTTTGAGTTTATTATTCTCATTTGGAAGTATAAAGATAAAGTAAAAGATTATATAAGTATTTCTCAGATCAACAAACTGGGAATGATATGGTTTCCCAAAAATATTACTGGCACAGTTTTTCCAACTTTGCAAACTTCTGCTCTATCTGAATTGGTCCTTGCTTCAACATGAGGTGCCAGATGCCCAGGTTTTACAGATGGGATCTTCTTTACTTCTAAGTGCCTAGGGATCCAGTACCTACCTTGACAATTGACGCCCAGCCTCCCATCCTACCCCTCCTACCCTAATGCCCCTGCCTCATGAAGACACCAACCCCAATGCATCCTTTCTTAATTTTCTGCTGTGCACAACTTGATTTTCTCTGCTGCACTGCTGGAACGCTTTTCAGTTGTCACCAGTGCCAAACCTTTACCTTCTGCCCTGTGAGAAGCTTCATACCTGTAGTTCCACTCAGGGACTAGGGCCTACGATGACCCCTAAAAGTACATGATGTTTCAATATGGTCATTTTGAATCTTTCGAGGCTATTCATATTTTAACATTTATCTCTCTTATAACCTAAAAGGCAAATCATAGGACCTTTTTTTTTATTTTGAGACAGAGTCTTGCTCTGGCACCAGCCTGGAGTGCAGTGGTGCGATCTTGGCTCACTGCAACCTCTGCCTCCCGGGTTCAAGCAATTCTCCTGCCTCAGCCTCCCAAGTAGCTGGGACTACAGATGTCTGCCACCATCCAGACTACAGACTAGTTTCCTATATTTTAGTAGAGACGGGGTTTCACCATGTTGATCAGGATGGTCTCCATCTTCTGACTTTGTGATCTACCTGCCTCCACTTCTCAAAATGCTAGGATTACAGGCATGAGCCATTGCCCCTGGCCAGGACTTTCTTTTTATTGCTAAATACTGTGTCCAACAGATGATGTAATCCTATCCCTACTCCCCTCAACCCTAACTTTTTAACTTTTATATAACTTCTACCCCACACTGACCTCAGAATGCCACATCATTCTTTTAGGGAAGTCCAGTCCACAACTTATAGCCCTGCTTGAGCTGGTGGTGGGGTGAGGGCTTCCTCTCACAGCCATAGTATTTGGTCCTGTGCCCCTGCCTTTTATCCCCTCAAAGGGAGAAGCGTGACCCCCACCCCGCACTCCGGAATCAACTCTGAGACTCCTGCTACCATCTGCCACTCCCTTCTCTTCTTGCAGCTGCTATTTGCCTAAAGTCACACAACAAAATCTGGGCCAAAAAATTCCAAGATACTCCAATCTCTAATTCTACGCATTGCCAGGAGTTCTTTCCAGGAAGCTGACTCTGTTAAATTAACTGAGGACAGCTGCCTCTCTGTGATGCACATTCTTAGATTATTGCTCCCTCAAGTCAACACCTGTGTGCCAGCTTTTTATTTAAAATTGCAGGGGTAGGCTGGGTGCAGTAGCTCACACCTATAATCCCAGCACTTTGGGAGGCTGAAGTGGGCAGATCACAGGTCAGGAGTTTGAGACCAGCCTGGCCAACATGGTAAAACCCTATCTCTACTAAATATACAAAAATTAGCTGAGCTTGGTGGCAGCCACCTGTTACTTGGGAGGCTGAGGGGGAAGAATTGCTTGAATGTGGGAGGCAGAGGTTGCAGTGAGCTCAGATTGGACAACTGCACTCCAGCCTGGGCAAAAGAGCAAGACTCTGCCTCAGGGGAAAAAAATTTGCAGGGATAGTGGCTAAAGATCACCAGCAACACTGAGACATAATTTAACACCCAGTACCAAAGGAGGCTCATAGAAAGGGAGTATGAAAAATCAGGAGGAGGCTGGCTGTGGTGGCTCACGCCTGTAATCCCAGCACTTTGGGAGGCCGAGGTGGGCGGATCACCTGAGGTCAGGACTTTGAGACCAGCCTGGCCAACATGGTGAAACCCTATCTCTACTAAAAATACAAAAATTAGCCAGGCATAGTGGCGGGCACCTGTAATCCCAGCTACGTGGGAGGCTGAAGCAGGAGAACTGCTTGAACCCAGGGGGCGAAGTCCCAGTGAGCTGAGATCGCACCACTGCACTCCAGCCTGGGCGACAAGAGTGAAACTCTATCTCAAAAGACTGAAAAGAAGAAAAATCAGGCAGAAGCAAGACCTGTGGATAGACCTGCCCCCACTTCAAGAACCGTCTGCATCAGAACAATCACAAGAGCACAAACTAGGACAGCGACAGGATCAGATTCCTTCCACACTAATTCACAAAGATGTTTATGCCCCAGTTCCCACCTAAAACATCTTTTTATTTTGGGGGGGACTTTGAGGTCTATGACCTAGTTTTTTATTTACCTTTTCTACCTAGGCTACCGCCTCCACATTCAAAAGGTCAAAGCCGTTCTATTTTATTCCAGGTAGAAGTGGTCTTCAGGGCTGCTCCTGAATGAGAATCAGGAGCAGTGGAAAGATTTCTCCTTTCCTGCTCCCATTCCCCTCCCTAACCCTCCTCACACAGCTTCTAGCCCCTACTGACTGGCCTGGAATTCTATCAGCTTCTCATGCTGAAACATAATTAAATGGTTTTGGCACAAAGTTAAAATGGAAATATCACAAAAAGAAATGCAATTTTCCTTCCTTCCTTCCTTCCTTCTTTTCCTTCCTTCCTTCTTTCTTCCTTCCTTCTCTTTCCTTCCCTCCCTCCCTGCCTCCCTTCCTTCCTCCCTCCCTCCGTTTCTCTCTCTCTCTCTCTCTTTCTTTCTAGTGATGGGGGTCTTGCTATGTTGCTCAAGCTGGTATCAAACTCCTGGGCTCAAGCATTCTACCTGCCTTGGCATCCCAATATGCTGGGATTACAGGCGTGAGCCACCGAGGCCCACAATGAGTCTGATCAGTCATTTGCATTTTGATAAAAAGTAGTTGATTGTTTCTCTTTTCCACTTTCCACAAAGCAATTGTTGAGAAAAAAAAAATGAGTCTCAGATAATGAGAAGGATATAAAGGTCACGGAAAAATCTAGAGTCCAGCTGCTTATGTCACAATCTAGCCAAAAGCAGGGTCATGGGTATTCCTATTTCCATTTCTGCCATATCCCCTCTGCCTCTTGTGGTATCTAAGAGACAAACAGCTCACCACTCCCATCACTATCTGAGAAATGAAGAGAAAAAAAAAAGTAGATGGATCACAAGTCAGGAGCCAAAGCATGCAAAAAGAGATTAAGTCAACTCGAGAAAGGTTCTGTTCCTCGAATTTAGACATATTTTATTATTAGTCAATGATCAACGCAAGTTGAGGACTTCAATGACCTTTACTGTCAGAGATGCAAGAACCCATTGATGCACAGCAAGAACACCCAATTCCTAGAGCAAGAAGGGGAGGGAGGAAGTAACCCTGCAGCCATCACTTTGGGACCTTGAGTGACTTCTTTTATGGGAACCTGGACCAAAGATCTTTGAAATCTTGACAGAGTAGATGCCAGCACCATGCTTCCTGTGCAGCTTACAGAACTGTAAGCCAATGAAACCTCTTTTCATTGTAAATTACCCAGTCTCAGGTATTCCTTTATAGCACTCCAAGAATGGCCTAACACACCAGCCTTGAGTAATAATCCTTGTAAAAGCCCAAGTTGAATTGGAATTGGTTTTCTAAGTTTTACTGAGTTCCCACAGAAGGCCAAATCCATGTTTGGGTAACCAGAAGGACTGCAGCTAGCCAGTTGGCATCTAAGTGTCACTACGAAAAGGCTTCCTTTTCTGAGACTGAGAAAGTTCAGGTTGGACTCCACTCCCAATTCAAACCCTTGCCTAGGAGCCCTTTGCTGGGCATAATCTTAACACATATACCCAGAGCACAGTAATTAACACAGTTACTATTTTAGTCTTGAAGAAAAAACTACAGGCACACATCTGTAGTCCCAGCTGCTTGGGAGGCTGAGGCAGGAGAATTGCTTGAACCCAAAAGGCAGAGGTTGCAGTGAGCCAAGACCACACCATTGTACTCGAGCCTGGGTGACAGAGTGAGACTGTCTCAAAAAAAAAAAAAAAAAGATTAGAAAGTCTTATATCTTAGAACAGAATAGAAATTACTTAAAATTTTATCAATAAAAATTTTAAAATAGTTACCATCAGTTGTATATATTTTTCTGACATGTGTTCTCTGGTGATTTGGTATGTTTCTATCAAAGATGCTTGCCCAGCAGAGGTGATGGCTCACACACATATTCCCAGGGCTTTGGGAGGCCAAGGTAGGAGGACTGCTTGAGCTCAGGGGTTCCAGACCAGCCTGGGCAACATGGTAAGACCCCATCTCTACAAAAAATACAATAATTAGACAAGTGTGGTGGCATGTGCCTGCAACCCAGCTGCTTTCCAGGCTGAGGCAGGAGGGTCACTTGAGCAGGGGAGGCAGTGGTTGCAGTGAGCTGAGATCATGCCACTGCATTCCAGCCTGGGTGACAGAGTCACAGAGTGAGACCCTGTCTAAAAAAAAAAAAAAAAGAATTAAGAATGCTTGCCCAAGACATGGGACTACTTTCCTTGGCAGTTATAAAGCAATGAGTACTGGACTGGACTAATACAGGGGTTTTAGCTTGTACCCAGCCACCAACCAGCTAGACTGCCTGGAATCATCTTCCATTCCCCATCTGACAAACTTTTACTCATCTGTTAAGAATCAGCTCAAATGCTGCCTCCTCTGAGAAACCATCAAGTACCACCAGGAAAGTCTCTGGGTTCTCATGCATTTTGCTTATACCTCTTTTGAAGTATTTTGCTGTTTCATAATTTTGGTTTTCCTATATGCTTTTCTAACCAAAACATAACTTTCTTGAAGACAGGCAATGTGGTCTCGTATGTCTACTTCCTTGGCACCTAGCACAGTAGTTGACTTAATGAATTATTAAATAAATGAATGAGCTGTATGATCCTAGGCAATTCATATAGCTTCTCTGGTACTGTACTTTCTTCATTTGTAAAATGAAGGTATCTGTATTAGTTAGGGTTCTCCCGAGAAACAGAATCAAGGGAGAGTAAGATAGAGAGAGATTTATTATGGAAATTGGCTCACATGATTATGGAAGCTAAGAATTCTCATCATCTGCCATCTGCAAGCCGGAGAACCAGGAAAGCCAGTGGTAGAATGCAGTCCTAATCTGAAGGCCTGAGGACTGGGGTGAGCAGATGGGGTTCTGATAGAGTCCCAAGAGCCAGAAGATCAACATCTGAGGGTAGGAGAAGATGGATATCCCAGCTCAAGAAAAGAAAGAGACAATTTGCCCCTCCTCTGCTTCTTGTTCTAGTCAAGCCCTCAGTGGATTGGATGGTGTTCACTCATGTTGGTGAGGGTGGATCTTCCTCATTCAGTCTAGCAATTCAAATGCTAATCTCTTCTGAAAACGCCATCATGGACACACTCAGAAATAACATTTTTACCATATATCTGGACATCACTTCGCCCAGTCAAGTTGCAATATAAAGTGAGCCATCACAGCATCAGTCTACTTTTTCCAAATCCTGGCCAGCTCAAATGCTCCTTGAATGCATAACATTCAGTTACAGATATTCCATCTAGGCCTCACCAAGTGTAGGGCAGACAAAATTGCCTTCGGAGTTCTGCCATCTCCCCTTTGTACCCTCTCCACTCATCTGATTCCCCTTCATGTCCTGGTTAGGAGTCTTTTCCATACACCCTTGAACTCAGTTACTTGAGAATAGTGTCAGGGTTATGAGCACAGAGCCTGGAGACAGAGAGACTGAGTTGAAATACTGCCTCTCGCACTTATTAGCTATATGACCTTGAGAGTTATTTAATCTCTCAATTTTCTAATTTTAAAATAGAGATGATATTCATAAAAATACTCACCTCATAGGATTGTCTAACATAGGCTCTGATCAAAAGGAATGGATGTCAGCATTAAACAACGAGCACAGTCTCTACTGGACATAGGACTCCTCCCTCCTCACCTCCCTCCAGTGCTGAGTCTGTTGCAGTTGTTGACTCTTATTTTTGAGAATGGGTAAAATAAAGGCTTAGTAGAAGATGTATGCACGCACACCCTAGATATTTTAAATAAGGCAGGGGGGTGGGGCAATTCAGGTAGTAAGTGTAGGCCTTTAAAGGCTCACCTCAAGGCAGATGCCTAAACTTGGTTGATTTCACTTCATCAATGAATAATAAGATTAGAGCTATAAAATTCACTCTTCCTGGTTTGTGAACAGAATATGTGTCTCCTTGTTATCAGAGAGTAATATTATATGGCTTCCCAAGATTTGTATTTCTTTTATTATATCTATTATATATTATTTTAATACCTAATGTTAGAATAACACTTTATTTATTTTCCTGTACGTATTTCATAAGCTTCTTACAACCTTGTGAAGTGAGTAGAGCAGATATTATCTGTCCCATTAAAAGAGGAATTACTAATTTATTGTATCTGGGAGTGTCTGACACATAACAATTTTGACAATTCTCTGGAAACTTACATAGATATTGATGAACCAGGAGCATTCTCTGAGAAGGTAAGATGGTAACTTAGATTTTATTCATCAATTTACTGGAATCTAGCTGTAAATCTTAGATACCTTTAGAGTCTAAATATAATAACATATTAATAGATGTGTAGCTTAGAAATGGTTGGTGTTGCAAATAATATATTACTTCACGTATTCCAAAAATAAAAGGTAAGTAGCTTTTGTGATTCACAGAGTAAAGCAGAAATAGAAACACTGCAAATATATGGATTAACTATAAATTGACATAGCAACATCCCTGTGAGACGCAAATCTATAAGGAGCTAAGTAGACCATTTCTCCTACATAGAAATGAATATGGTTATTTGGTCATAAATTAAATTCCACTTGACTTTGCAGAATATATGGTGCAGAATGAATAATCTTTACTCTGGTAATTAATAATTATATTCCCAAATTATACTCACAATCTTTTCTTATTGTTCATTATATTAATACAGATGTAACTTTTAAGGAATGCTTGACAACAGTTAAAGCTGATGCATTAAAATGTGAGTTTGGGCATAGATATGAATTTATGGAATAGATATTAATGTATAATAGCTGAATCTTCTGCCTTGAATTCTAGATAAGTATTTGTTTGCTGGTAATCTTATTTGGTAAGACCAGAGTAAATTAATTATATCAATTTATCACTAAATGCAATTCCTGTGAGGCTTTATTCCTGAGTGTAAGGAAACACTCTTCGTTTATTGAAGAAAATGATGGAATCACATTTTGGCAAAATGATGGGGAGTAAGCAGATGGAAAATGGGAGAAAAGCCACATGGGTAATAAAAATCATGAGTTTTCACCACATAACTAAAGTATAAAGCAAAATTCTCCTGGGAACCCTATAAGTCACTTGATTTAACAACAGTGATTTATTTTCCATTCATCAAGGGTTCTACACTTAAGGGGCAGAGGGAGTCTTATGACATATGGCTCTCAGCACCAGCTGTGACAGGGAAAAAGGGCTGTTGATAGAATAATCCTGACCCAGATAATAAGATCCTTAGCTGGCTGCATCTAATAGCTTCACAGGACATCTTAGGATGGAAGTCAGCCGAGAAAGCCATCTTCATTTGCCCTTTAATTTGGCACAAACAGTAGATACTTATTTCTCTAAAAATTAAATTAATTAAAAAAAATTTAGCCGGGCATGGTAGCTCACGCCTGTAATCCCAACACTTTGGGAGCCTGAGGTGGATCACAAGGTTCAGGAGTTCGAGACCAGCCTGACTAATACGGTGAAACTCCATCTCTACTAAAAATATCAAAATTATCCGGGCATGGTGGTGTGCACCTGTAATCCCAGCTACTGAGGAGGCTGAGGCAGGGGAATCACTTGAACCCAGGAGGCAAAGGTGGCAGTGAGCTGAGATTCACACCACTGCACTCCAGGCTGGGCAACAGAGTGAGACTCCATCTCAGAAAAAAAAAAATCATGGAGTAATTTCACTTAGTAGTCTAACCTGTATCTCAAAATAGGAACAAAGCTTTAAAAATACTACCTGTCTTGCTGGCTTATTTCATTCCATCCTGTCCTTGTGATGTCACACTAGGTGTTATATCACAACTACTGAGGGTGGAGGGACTGATCAATAACTAGAGCCATTTGGGATGTGAATGCAGGGGGGAAATGGTCTCTAAAGAACTCTGAGGCCCAGTGTGGTGGCTCCTGCCTGCAATCCCAGCACTTTGGGAGGTTGAGGTGGAAAGGTCTCTTGAGCCCAGGAGTTGGAGACCAGCCTGGGAAACACAGTGAGACCCCTATCTCTCCAAAAAAAAAAAAAACAAAACAAAAATTAAATTAGTTGGGCATGGTGGTGCATAGCTGTGATCCCAGCTACTTGGGAGGCTGAGGTGGGAGTACTGCTTGAGCCCAGGAGGTTTAAGCTGCAGTGAGCTGTGATCACACCACTGCATTCTAGCCTAGGCAACACAGCAAGACCCTGTCTCAAAACAAACAGACATATAAAAGGAATTCTGGATCTACATCTGTTTTGCCAGACTGGGATTGAGCAGCAGCAAGCCATAAATATTTTCTAATTAGGAGTAGGCCATGATCAAATCAAAAAGTCACAATGGTGATCATATGGAGGATAGACTGGAAGAGAAAGACAGTGGACTTTGCACTATCACTTGGAAAGTTCTAGAAAGGAGAGAAATGCTGAGAGACTAAGACAGTGGTTCTGGGGATAGAACAAAGAAAACAGTCAGCAGTCATCAGATCCTGTCCATTCTCTCTCTGAAACTTCTTAACCAATTTAGTCAAATGTCTCAATAATGTCCTTTATGGCATTTTGTTTTCCTCCTGTCCAGGATCTTGTCCAGGGTCACATATTGTGTTTGTTATGTCTCTTTAGTCTCCTTTATCTGAAACAGTTCATCAGCTTTTCATTACCTTTCATGACACTGACATATTTGAAAAGTACAGGTCAGCTATTTTATAGGCTGTTTCTTAACTTTTGTTTGTCTGATGTTTTCTCAAGATTAGATTTAGGTTATGCATTTCCAGTGGGAATACCACAAAAGCAATGTTGTGTCCTTCTGAGAGTCACATTTGGAGACCACATGATGCCTGCCTGCTCTTCTTTGCTTATGTTAATCTTGATTATCTGTTAGGATATTGTCTGGTTTCCCCACTGTATAGTTACTGTTTTCCCCCTTGTTACCAATTTGTGATTAGTGGGAAAATACTTTAATACCATAGAAATATTCTGCTCTTCAACAAACTTGCCTGCCTAGATTAAGTATTCTCTGATGATTCTTGTCCAGATCAATCTTTACCATGAAGTTTGCAAAACTGTAATTTTCCAAATCTTCCCTGCCTTCCACCAGAACTTCCGTTTTTAAACCAGACACATTACTACCTGAAATAAACGATTACGTCCTCCAGTTTGGTCATGGTTTTTTAACTAAATCCTAACAAGTGTTCTGTGGGACTTTCAAGAAGTCTTCTTAAAAATGCAAGGGTGAGGTAGAAGTGGGGAATGGTGTCTTCCTCCTCTTTTCTAGGAAGAACATGGTGTAAGAAGAGAAAAGAGCAAAATACTAGGGCCCCAAGGGACACTGAAAGTTGCTAGTAACAAAAAAAAAAAAAAAAAAAGAGTAACCTGTATAGAAGTCTGAGAAAATCAAACATCAGAACCCAGTGGTGCCTCCAGAATCAAAGGAAGGAAGATGCTTAAGGAGAACAGAATGGACAGTTTAAATATCATAAGGAGGTCAAACAAAATAAGGACTGAAAAGTCTCTACTGAATTCAGCCACTTGGAGGTCCTTGATAGCCTAACGAGGAATTTTACTAAAATGGATGGGAAAGCTGGGCTGTAGCAAGTTAGGAACCAGACAAAATATCAGCATTAAGTTTAGGCAACTCTGCCACAAAGATTGCTTCAAAAGAACTACAGAAGGAATGTGGTTCATTCCTTTTGATTGGTGAGTGGTATGACGATTTGTCTATTTCTCAGTCGATGGATATTTGAGTTGCTTCCAGTGTAGGGCAATTATAAATAAAAATGCTATAAACCTTTGCATATAGGTCTTTGTGTGGGCATACATCTTCATTTCTCTTGGTCCTTGGGAGAGGATTACTGACTATAAATTAACTTTTTAAGAAAACTGCCTAACTTTTCCCAAGTGATTATACCATTTTGCATGCCAACAGTGTATGAGTTCCTGTTGCTTTGAATCTTCCTCAGAACTTGACATTGGCAGTTTTAAAAGTTTGGCTGTTTTAATACATGTACACTGGTATCTTGTTATGGTTTCAATTTCCATTCCCTACTGCATTTGCACTCTGTTAATTATATTGAGTATCTCTTCACGTGTTTATTTGTTGTTTGTACCTCTTCCTTGGTGAATTCAAATCTGTTGATCATTTTAATTATTGGGTTGTCTGTTTTCTTATTATCGAATTGTGAAAGTCTTTACATACTCTGAATTCAAATCCTTTATCAGATAAGTGTTTTCCAAATATTTTCTCCAAGTCTGTGGCTTGTCTTTCCATTTTCTTAACAATATTTTTTGAAAAGCAGATGTTTAAATTTTTGATGAAGTCCAATTTATCAAGTTTTTATGGTTCATACTTTCAAGTTCTATCTCAGAAATCTTTGTCTAATTCAAGGTCCTATGTTTTCTCCTAAACAGTTTATAGTTTAGATTTTAGGTCTATAATCTATTTTGAGTTAGGTTTTGTATGTGGAGAGAATAGGAGATTTGAACATATTTATCATTAGAGAAAAAGAGCGACTGAAGATATATGATCTAACAAAATTACAAAAGAGTCAAAAGCAGGTTGGAACAGAAGTTCATTCACACAAATGAATCCCTTTTCCCACTAAAACAAAAAGGAAAGAAATTAAAGCAAAATTTGTAAGTGGATGGGGTTGGGGGGAGTTACATGGTATCACCTCTTGGTCTGCATTTTCTCTGGAAGGAGACAAGAGCATCTGATAAAAGAAGAGAGATGAGGCTAGAGAACATTAGGTTGGAGAATAGTAACTAAGATCTGGCGTAGAAACTATGGAGTGGGGAAGAAAGGTAACCACTAACAAATCAGAGGGAAGCTAAATGACAGTAGAAACCCAGGCAAGTCTGGAAACCTTGAAATTGCAATTGCTTTTGTTAGGCAATTGTCCTTGGTTGTATTGCTGAACATGATCAGCATACAAGCCATGAGGCCAACGCAGGAAGAGGCTTGGCAGAGGACACGGACTGAATTCACAGAGACTGATGAGAAGTGACACTCCTGTTTAGACAGGAGAGGAAATGAGTCCAAGAGAAACGGATAGGAGGAGACTATAAAAAGCGGCTGCAGGAGTATGAGGTCTAGGTGCGGCTGACAAGCAAACTCCAAATCCAATAGTTATTCTGTGCTTTTCTGCTCATGGGATCAAATGACATATATGATCTATACATCAGTTAGGACTCATTTGGTTGCAAGTAAAACAATTTGATTTAACCAAATAAAAGTGACATAAACAACACAGGTTTGTTCTAGTTTTGTTTTTTCTCCACTTTCTTTCTCTTCCACAAGAAGCCTAGAAGTAGGAAGCTCTGGGAATGGTGAAATAAGTGGTACGACAGTGCCAGGATTTTGGGGTAATCTCTCTGCTATTGGCCTGGTTTACCCTCATAATTACAAAATGACCACTAGAACACCAAGCTTTACATCTTGGCCATACTTCTTTGTTTTTTATTCCTTTGGCATTTTAAGACATTTTTATTGTGGAAAAAAGCATAAAGAAAAGTGACAAAACAGCAGAGTGAATCCCATGCACTCAACACTCAGCTTCAATAGTGACCAACTACGGGCAAACCTGCTTATCTTCCACCGCACACCCACATCCCTCTTCCTGGGTTATTCTGAATCAGATACCAGGTGTCTGACCATTCCAGGCTTGAACTCATTCTTTACTTCTTTCCCTTGTCCCACATATCCAATCCATTAGCATGTTCCACAGTTTTTTGTTTGTTTTTGTTTTTGTCTCCAAAATATACCCTGACTGTGTCCTGCCCTCTATCTCCATCACTGCTACTCTAGTGCAGGCACCATCATCTCTCACCTGCACCACTCCGAGAGCCTCCTAACTGGTTTTCCTGTTTCTTCTCTTGTCATGGCCATATTTCATAGGTACGAAGAAGGAAAAGGGTTTATACTCATGGTCTGTCTTTTCACATGGAGGAAAATTTTCCCAGAAGTCCTTTCCTCACTAGATTTCCCTCTGCTCCCATTGGTTGATATACAAACTCCTACTGGTAAAGTTGACTGGTTTATTAATTAATTAACTAATTTCAGCCTTAGGCCTTCCATTTACCTGATTTCTTTGATGTTAGTCTGCAGTCACATATTAGATACTGCCACTAAATCGTCTTCATATGCTGAACTTCCAAGTTTTGTGTTTTAGCTAACAAATGGATATATGAGGTAGGTAGAGGGAGCTACCTGGTAGGCAACAGTTTGATTTCAAATATATTACCATCTTCCTCTGCCTCAGTGTTTTTGCAATTATTCGAATAGTATTTGCATTTTACCTTCATTTTACCAAAAGTATAAAATATAAAATAAAAGTGTTAATAATGGAAATTAGAAGCACTGGTTTTATAAACAGTTGAGACAGTCAGAAAGATAGGAATCCTCAGCCTCCTCAGATGCTTTTTTAGCTATAAACTGGTTAATTTTTATATAGTTGTAATGGAAAAATACATAATTGATAATATGAGTAAAATGCTAGAACCATATTGCCAAAGGTTATGCCTAAAGTTTCGTATAGATATATACAATTTTTTATACTCTGGAATAAACTCCTCCTTTTAGCATATAATTCTGTTGTTCAGCTTTCACACATTTGATTTAAATCCACATTTTCACAGACTCCTGTATGAAAAGGGGATCATTTTCCTTTCTTTATATTCAAAATTCTCCAATCCTGTGATTTTGCTGAATCACCTTCTTTCATTCCCCCACCAATCCTTTCACTGTTAAAAGAAATCTAATATTGCTGTTCCTCTTATGTTTACCTCTGACTTTTCCTCCCCGTGCTGAACTGCAGTTCTCCCCTCTCAGCCCGTTTCATTGTAGTTGTACTCTTTTTCCTTTACTCTACATTGTTGGCCAAACATCTCCATTGTTTTTCTTTCCAGAGTGATTCTAAATGCTGTTAGGCAAAGTGATTAGAAATATAGTCAATGTAAGGAAGAATTAGAAATTAAAGTAACTCGTTTGTTGGCAAGTGCCACTGTTTCTTAGTATGTTATTGCATGTAGATTATTTCTTGCTCATCCTCTCTAGGCCATAAGAACTATTCTTCGGCTCAGCACATCCGTGACTATCCTGTTATAAGCACTAAATGTAACTTTAACAAACAAAATGCAGTGAACAGTGCACACAGAAGACCTAAATTCCAATCTAATGTCTGTCCTTCATATCAAAATAAACACAGCAAAATCTTACTCATTTACATGTAGTAGAGTGAAAACTCTACATATGTGAAAAGTCTGAGTTAGAGACTTTTAAAAACTAAATCATTCAAAAACAAGCAATGGGGAAAGGATTCCCTATTTAATAAATGGTGTTGGGTATTTATTGGCTAGCCACATACAGAAAACCGAAACTCAACCCCTTTCTTATACCTTATACAAAAATTAACTCAAGATGCATTAGACTTAAATAAATGTAAGACCTAAAACCCTAGAAACCCTAGAAGAAAACCTAGGCAATACCATTCAGGACATAGGCATAGGCTAAAACACCAAAAGCAATGGCAACAAAAGCCAAAATTGACAAATGGGATCTAATTACACTCCAGAGCTTCTGCACAGCAAAAGAAACTATCACCAGAGTGAACAGGCAACCTACAGGATGGGAGAAAATTTTTGCAATCTATCCATCCGACAAAGGGCTATTAGTATCGAGAATCTATATGGAACTTCAACAAATTTATAAGAAAAAACAACTCCATCAAAAAGTGGGCAAAGGATATGAACAGACACTTCTCAAAAGAAGCCATTTATGTGGCCAACAAACATGAAAAAAAGCTCATCATCACTGGTCATTAGAGAAATGCAAATCAAAACCACAATGAAATACCATCTCATGCCAGTTAGAATGACAATTATTAAAAAGTCAGGAAACAACAGATGCTGAAGAGGATGTGGAGAAATAGGAATGCTTTTACACTGTTAGTGGGAATGTAAATTAGTTCAACCATTGTGGAAGACAGTGTGGTGATTCCTCAAGGATCTAGTACCAGAAATACCATTTGACCCAGCAATCCCATTATTAGGAATATACCCAAAGGATTATAAATTATTCTACTATAAAGACACATGTGCACATGTTTATTGCAGCACTGTTCACAATAGCAAAGACTTGGAACCAACCCAAATGCCCATCAGTGATAGACTGGATAAAGAAAATGTCACACATGTACACCATGGAATACTATGCAGCCATAAAAAAGGATGAGTTCATGTCCTTTTCAGGGACATGGATGAAGCTGGAAACCATTATTCTCAGCAAACTAACACAGAAACAGAAACCCAAACACCACCTGTTCTCATTCATAAGTGGGAATTGAACAATGAGAACACATGGACACAAAGGAGGGAACATCACACATCAGGGCCTGTCAGGGGGTGAGGGGGCAGGGGAGGGATAGCATTAGAAGAAATACCTAATGTAGATGATGAGTTGATGGGTCTGCACATTCTGCACATGTATCCCAGAACTTAAAGTATTGGGGGGGGGCAGGGGAACTAAAACATTGTATTCCTTTTGGAAACATAGCAACTTGAACTACTAAGAAGGGGTTTCTAAGTAAAAGCTCTAGTTGCCTACTTTAGTGAAATTTCAAAATAACACTTTGGGTAGTTAGTAGGATCTATCTCCATATAAATAGCAAATGCACTTATCTCCTTTAAAAACCATTTCTTCTTTTAAGTAGGCTAACATCCTAACCACCACAACCACATAATCACAGTCTCACTTAGGGGACTAATTTGCTTTCTTTAGACAGCAGTAAAAGACATTCCTTCCAAGAATGGTTTTGTTAGCAATTTACATTCTACATTATTTTAATCTCTATAGAGTTATATGCCTGACAAATTTAGAAGGGGTTAGAAAGGGATAGACTGAATTAAAATAGTGTATATGATTTCAACTGCAAGGGACAGATTCAAACATAGGCCTTGGTGACCCTCAATTTATCACTCAATTTACCATAAATAATTAGGCAGTTATTTTGTTATATCATAATATGTATGGGTCTTGAGGTTAGAGAAACAAATCAAGATTATACTGAAAGTTTGTACCGAGAATTCACAGGCTTTGAAACCCTAAGATACGGCACTTAACTGATGCCCTACCTTCACCTCCCAAATTTGTTTTAGGGATAAGAAAAAGAGAGTAAGTGCCATTCAAACACCATAAGATTTAGAGTAAGACCACTTTAGTTTTTACCTGGTGCACATGGCATTGTGACCCTGAACAGGACACACAACCTCTCTAAGCCTGTTTTCCAGTTACAGAATGATATTACCAACCTTAGATCATCATTATTATTATTTATTTTAAGACAGGGTCTTGCTTTGTTGCTCAGGCTGGAGGGCAGTGGTGTGATCACAGCTCACCGCAGCATCAATCTTCTGGGCTCAAGTGATTCTTCCACCTTAGCCTCCTGAGTAGCTGGGACTACAGGCACATGCCACCATGCCAGGCTATGTTTTTTTTCTTTTTAAGCTGGTCTTGAACTTCTGAACTCAGGCGATCCTTCTGCCTCGGCCTCCCAAAGTGCTGGGATTACAGGTGTAAGTCACTGTACCTGGCCAGAACATTATTTTTATTATTAAGTTCAACCATGTGCAAGAAAATGTTTTGTAAACTGTTTAGTATCATTCAAATGCTAGAATAAAAATGGAGAAGCAAGAGAAACATATACTTTGTTTTTTTTGTTTGTTTGTTGTGTTTTTTTTTTTTTTTTGAGACAGACTCTTGCTCTGATGCCAGGCTAGAGTGCAGTGGTGTGATCTTGACTCACTGCAACCTCTGCCTCCTGGGTTCAAGCGATTCTCCTGCCTAAGCCTCCCAAGTAGCTGGGACTACAGGAGCGCACCACCACGCTCAGCTAATTTTTTGTATTTTAGTAGAGACAGGACTTTACCATGTCGGCCAGGATGGTCTCGATCTCCCGACCTCAGGTGATCCACCCACCTCTGCCTCCCAAAGTGCATTTTGTTGTTTTTTAAATAGAACTGTTCTGGTTTTGGCTTAGAGGAAATGTTTTCTCTCACACCTGGCACCTTTTGAAAAACTAATAAACTATTTCACCTGTGGTTGACTTGTAATTATTTCATACTTCTGTGAAGAGAAGGAAATATAATAGAAAGCAGTAATTTTAGACAAATTCTCAAATTACCCCTACATTCCTGAAGACTTTTTGGTCAGGAAAGCATCCCTGTGTAGATGAAATATAGAATTTAAATTAGTTTTACAGAAAGTTAGTTACATTGTTAAAAATTAAATCATTATGTTTTGTTTGAACAAGAATTAGTTTTATGGATGGGTGCCGTGGCTTACGCCTATAATCCCAGCACTTTGGGAGGCCGAGGTGGGTGGATCACTTAAGGCCAAGAGTTCGAGACCAGCCTGGCCAAAATGGCGAAGACTCATCTCTACTAAAAATACAAAAATTAGCCGGGTATGGTGGCACACGCCTGTAGTCCCAGCTACTCGGGAGGGTGAGTCAGAAGAATCGCTTGAACCTGGGAGGTGGAGGTTGCAGTGAGCCAAGATCATGCTACTGCACTCCAGCCTGGGCAACAGAGTCATATTCTGTCTCAAAAAACAAACAAAACCACATGACTAGTTTTACGAAGATAATTTAGTAGTAGAGTCCTGAGAAATGACAGAAAAGGGCTGAAGGAAATAACTGTCTTTAACATTTGTTGTAGTTTTACATAAATAGAAACCAAAATAGCAATTATTACTAGACTAGATCATCTAACTCCAGATACTGATAGGTAATATCACCAACAAACAATTTGTTTATTGTTAGCAGGACTTTAAGTTGAATGAAAAGCAAGAAAGAAGAGGAAAAGTAAATATGTAATAATACAATATCTATCACAGCTCAGAAATTCAGAAATTTCATTCAGGTCAAAATGCCAGACATTTCACCCTTACCAAAATCTCCCTGGAGAGCCTGTCTGCCTGCAGACTGGAAGGACATTCCTTAAATAAATGGGGCTGTGCTCTGATCTCTGACCAGCTAATTTGACTAAGGGCAGTCGCTTGGCCCAAACTGAGTCCATCATATTCTCAGAGACATAGAGGCTGAAGTGGATGGTGTTGACACTGAAGATGCAAGGTCATGAAGACTTGTTGGCAAAACTGGCAGCATGGCAGCCCAAAGCCATATGCAAGCCAGCGTTATGAGGGAGAAGAAACTAAAAAAAATAACTTACAGAGATGCAGAATAACTAGTCTGCAAAAAGGAAAATGGAGCAGATGTGAAACAAGGACAAGAGATTGGGAAACCAAGCAGGGAGGACCAGAAAGAGGGAGAGAAGCTGTCTGATCATACATGCTTTCTTCAGTTGGGTTCTGTATAATACCTTAAAATAAATCTCCTTCCCTTTACTTGTGCTGGCTCCAGTATGTTTTGATTCCTCAGAACCAGAGGTTACTTTAGTAAGATATGCACCGATTGGACTAGAGCCAAAAGTAAAAAAGTAAACAAGAAAAGCATCTGAATAGCCAAATTGCATTTCCAAAATACTCTATACGGAAGCTCATGGGGTACTAAATATCTTTTATTACTTTTAAAACTTGCATAACAACTGTATTGAGATTTAACTTACATACTATAAAATTCACCCTTGTTTCATTTCTTGTTTACTTTTAATTTTTTAATTCCATCAAGCTTCCAGATCTGGTGTTCAAGTCTATGAGTAACTTTAACAGACAGAATGGCTAGTAGAAGCAAGCACACTGCAGCAATAAAGTGACAGTTGACAGCCTAGCAGCAAAGGAGGAAACAGAAAAACTATAAATAGGAGTACAATAATTCCAAAGGAAAAAAAAAACGCAATCTGGGACCATTTAGAGTGTTTTTTTTTAGTCTCCTTTGGTTCCGAGGAACAGCTCAAGTTACATCTAATATTAGGGGAAGGAGTTATTAGGAATGAAGAAAACAGGGATCTCAGCCCCAAAGGGCCTCGTGGGAACCCAGGAAAAGCCAAATCACCAAGCCTCTGGAAGAACAGGAGCTTCGAGAGCCAGAAGCCTCATGAGCCAGGACGTCACCGGGAATCCAAGGTAACTCCAGGACTTCAGCATCAGGAGTTCACCTCAGCGATGAGTTATTTTTGTGAATCAGCTCTCCCTTCCCTCTGTGCTTGTCAGTGTTTTTCGGTTTCTCTGCCTGCCTCTAACTGACTTCCTCATCCTTTCCTTGGAATTTGCAAACTGACGACTCCTGACCTCTTTCAGCCTGCAGACTCATTGTGTTTGGCCAGCATGGCGCCTTCCCATTGTTGAGAATTCCGAGGCATCTGGGCGTGGCATGAGCTTGGCAGTCCCCGAATCTTTACGTGCCGGATCACCCTCGCCGTGCTCTCTTCTCTCATTGGCACTGCCTGCCCGACTGCCAAGGGCGCCTGAGTGTGGGACCCCTGCCCTGTATTTCTTCTCTACCCCACAGCTTCTGCTCATTGTAGTATCTGCTTTCTCATCACTTTTGCTTGTTCTATCCCATGGGCTCTCTCTGTACTGTATATCCCTTTAGCCCCCACTGCTAACCAGTCATTCAAATTCTCCAAAGGGAGAATCTGGATCATCTCACCCATTTTTGGCTAAACTTGTCCCATTTGTTCATTGTCTAGAAAGCGGCCAGCCTATAGGATAGCTGCTTTGGGTCACGTGTCAGCTGTTTGCCCAATCAGTTGTGGCTGAGGGGCTGCCTGGCCCACTTAGACCAGAGCACCACTGTCCTAGGGCTGACCCTTCCTAGGGACTGTCGGCAGGGCAGCTACCTTTAGAAAGCACCAAGGGCCAGGCGGCCACCGTCAGTGTCCAGTGCACTGAGTAAGAATGACCCAACTCTATAAACCCTAAAAAGCCCCAGAGAATCAGGCTCCATTTAGCCTCCCCAGAAAATTAACGTCTATGACCGAACCAGAGAGTCTTTAAAGAAAAGTTTAGATTGTGTTCAGTTTCTTCTATTTAAGGAAGCAGTGATGTATGTACTAGATTTTGGAGTAATTTCCATTAAAAATTATTAAAGTAAAATAATAACAGATATTTAGTATGTATTCATATTTGGGAAAGCTTGGGTTTTTTTCCCTCAATTTAATCTGATTTTCCTTTCAAATGGAAACTAGGAAGTTGTTGAGAATATATCTCTGAACGTTTTCTAATCTTGGATTTTCCATTTACCAGCTAGCAAATGCTTTTGTAATATAGTTGCTGAATTTCCTCATCGATAAAATGAGGATAATAGTACATCTTTACCAGGGTTGGCACTTTTAACTGAGAGAAATCCAAATAAAACATTTAGGACAGGTACCTGGTTCACAGTTAGTGTTAACAATTGTTAACTATTAGTATTATGACTGCTGTTGTTTTGTTGTTCTTATATAAGTAAGAGAGCTATGTACTAACATATTAGTAGAGTTTTTATAATGGTTGATAATTGTTGAGGTTTTCCTATTTGTACATACATAATTGCTTTTCCTTAACACAGTGTTCTAACTCTGTCATAAAAATTGTGTATTGCATTTCCAAAGAAAACAAATTGCTTCAATCAGATTGCTTTATTGTATAACAACAGGGCATTGTTTGGGGAAATCTGAGCTTATTTTAACCCTAGTACTGGTCTATCTATCCATTAGCTTATCTTGGTGCCTAGACTGAAAGGCAACCTTCAGAGCCAGCCCCAGTGCAGAGAGTTGTCAGTCTGAAGGTAAACACCTTTGAAATACAACAAAGGCTATAGCTGATGCCAAAGGACTTATCTAAAGACCGTCACTTAGGAGTCTCTGGCCAGTTCCAGGATGACTTCCTGCCTGGAAACAAGACAGGAAAGTGCTGAATGGGTGCACGCCAACAAGGCTGGATCTTGAAAGGAGTGGGACTCGATGAAACCGTTAGAATCAACAAGGGAGCTTTAGAAAACATACCAATGCTGGTCCCATCTTAAACCAATAACCTTTTTTTTTTTTTTTTTTGAGACGAAGTCTTGCTCTGTCACCAGGCTGGAGTGCAGTGACGCATTCTCGGCTCACTACAACCTCTGACTCCCTGGGTCAAGTGATTCTCCTACTTCAGCCTCCTGAGTAGCTGGGTCTACAGGCATGCACCACCATGCCCAACTAATTTTTGTATTTTTAGTAGAGACAGAATTTCACCATGTTGGCCAGGATGGTCTCCATCTCCTGACTTTGTAATCCACCCACCTCGGCATCCCAAAGTGCTGGGATTACAGGTGTGAACCACCGTGCCCAGCTAGACCAATAAAATTCTGTAGTTCCGAGGTGGGACACAGGAAAGGGAGAAAGCAAGCAGCCATATTTTTAAAAGCTCCTCAGATGCTTATAATGTGCAGCCAGGGCTGAGAACCCCAGTGTTCTAGGGCTTCAACTAATTTGCTTCTGCTACTGAGCACTACTCAGAAGAGAGGCTACCAGGGAAGAACAGAGGAAAGGAGAAAAGAAGACATCACCCAAGAACTTTTGCTCATCATATAAGCCTTGTCAGCAGTTTAGTAAGCCTTACCCTCTGCTCAGCACTGTGCAGAAACTGAGCAAAGGGTGAAAAGAAGATTGCGATTAATACTGCCTGCCTTCACAGAGCTTTCAAAAACAGTTGTAGAGTCAAAATTAGCACACAAGAAATGGTGGCAGAACCATAAAGTATTATGTTGTGGCTATGATTCAAAGAACATGCTCTGAGGATTTGGCAGGGGGCAAGGTGAAAGTCAACATGGAGGGGGTGGAACCTCCTGAAGATGAGAAGGATTTGGGCACAAAGGGAGCACAAGGAAGTGCATTATAAGCACAATGAACAGAATGAGCAAAATCAGAGAAAAGGCAGGGTGTGAGCACAAGCAGTGACAGACCAGTCGAACTGGGGGGTAGGGGGGATGTTTATTGGGCAGTAGTAGTAAATACACTTGGATAATTTCAGTAAAGTGAGACCAAATTTAGAAGACTGGGGTACTAGACTGAGTAATTTAAACATGCATTAGGGAACAGGAAGTCATTATGGGTTCGTAAGTAAAGACAGACAATGTGTTTTGCGTTTTTGTTGTTGTTGTTTATAGAGAGGGTCTCACTCTGTTGCCCAGGCTGGAGTGCAGTGGTATAATCATAGCTGACTACAGCCTTGAACTCCTGGGCTCAAGTGATCCTTCCACCTCAGCCTCCTAAATAGCTAGGACTACAGGAGACACCACCATGCCCAGCCGTTGTTTTTAAAAATTTTTAGGGCTGGGCTCGGTAGCTCATGCCTGTAATCCCAGCACTTTGGGAAGCTGAGGCAGGTGGATCATGAGATCAGAAGTTCAGGATCAGCCTGGTCAAGATGATGAAACCCCGTCTCTACTAAAAATAACAAAAATTAGCTGAGCATGGTGGCAGGTGTCTGTTATCCCAGCTACTTGGGAGGCTGAGGCAGGCAACTGCTTGACCCCGAGAGGTGGAGGTTGCAGTGAGCCAAGATCATGCCACTGCACTCCAGCCTGGGCAAGAGAGCAAGCCTCTGTCTCAAAAAAATAATTTATTTTAGAGATGGACTCTTACTCTGTTGCCCAGGCAACACACAGAAAAGTAAAAGCAATCAGAAAAATATTATGCATAATCTCTAAACACAAGTGACTGCTGCTTTGACATATTTCTTTTAGTTCTAATATATTTTTATATAGTGCTGATCTCACTTTATAAACAATTTTGAATCTTGCCTCTAATATAATAGTGTTAGCATTTTCCCATGTCATTAATAGCTTTAAGCTTTGCTTCTGTAGCTATGTGACCTTCCTTGGTATAGTTGCACTGTGATTTACTTCTAAGACAACAGCTGTCTTAGTCCATTTTGTGCTGCTATAATATGATACTGCAGACTGAGTAACTGTTAAAAGATAGAAGTGTATTTGGCTTATGGTTCTGGATCTGGGAAGTCCAAAGTTGAGTGGGTACATCTGATGAAGGCCTTCTTGCTGCATCCTTACATGGCAGAAAGCATCACATGGACAAGAGGAAGAGCAAGAGCAGACCAAACACACTTTTATGACAAACCGATTGCCATGTTAACCCACTCCGTTAATGAGGGCAGAGCCTAGGTTTGTTCTTTTTTATTTATTTACATCCTAGAAATAGTAAGAAGGAACAAATTTTTAAGAGTTAGCAATATACTGAAGGTGAAAAAGAGAAAAGATTCAAAGTTGTCATGTTCTTGGCAAATGTAAATAAGACAAAGAAAAATAAGAACCCATAAACAAAATGAAAGATTAAACAGCAATATAGAAAAAAAATCACAACACATGACAGAAAAGGGGCTAATTTCCATAAAATATAAACAGCTTGTACCAATCAATAAAGGTCAACAACCTAATAGAAAAATGGGCAAAGGAAATGAACAAACAGTTCTCAAAAAGGAAATAGAAATGGGTTTTAAAAACAAAAGACAATCAACTTCACTCACAATTAAACATACAAGTTAAAATGAAAATGAAGCATTTTAACAGATTTGCAAAGATAAAATGTTAAATAATGCACTTTGTTAAAGAGGATGTTGGAAAACAGGGAATGCACACGTTGCCATTCGTCTTATCAATGTGATTTATGTGATCACTTGTAGGATAATTGGACAATAGATATTGTATTAGTCTGTTTTCACGCTGCTATAAAGAACTTCTCTGAGACTGAGTAATTTATAAAGGAAAGAGGTTTCATTGACTCACAGTTCTGCATAGCCCAGGAGGCCTCGGGAAACTTACAATCACGGTGGAAGGAGAATCAAGCACTTTCTTCACAAGGCGGCAGGAGAGAAAGAAGTGCAAGCACGGGAAATTGCCAGACACTTAAACCATCAGATCTTGTGAGAACTCACTATCATGAGAACAGCATGGAGGAAACTGCCCCCATGATCCAATCACTTCCTACCACACCCCTCCTTCAACAATTGGGTATTATGGGGAATACAATTCGAGAGGGGATTATGGGGATTACAATTCGAGATGAGATTTGGAATGTGTGGACACAGATCCAAACCAAATCAGATACCAATGTGGAAAGTGGACATAGCCTTTAACTCGGCAATTCTACTTTTAGGAATTTATCCTACAGATAATTTACAATATGTGTAAAATAATATATAACCCAGATAATTCTTGCAAGTGTGTTTGTAGGAGCATAATATTGGAAACAACATAAGGTATACCAATAGGAAATTATTTAGGTAACATATGGTATATCTGGAAAGTTAAATATCATGCAGCCATAGGCCGGGCACGATGGCTCAAGCCTGTAATCCCAGCACTTTGTGAGGCCAAGGCAGGTGGATCATGAGGTCAAGAGATCGAGACCATCCTGGTCAACACTGTGAAACCCCGTCTCTACTAAAAATACAAAAAAAAAAAAAAAAAAAAATTAGCTGGGCATGGTGGTGTGTGTCTGTAATCCCAGCTACTCAGGAGACTGAAGCAGGAGAATTGCCTGAACCCAGGAGGCGGAGGTTGCAGTGAGCCGAGATCGCGCCATTGCACTCCAGCCTGGGTAACAAGAGCGAAACTCCATCTCAAAAAAAAAAAAAAAAAAAAATGCAGCCATTAAAAAGAAGTGTAGCAAGTCTCCACCCGGACTCCGCCATATTGGGTCTTGTGGGTCGTGTGGCCGCTACCTCCGCCTGCGGGGCCTTGCGGGGACTGAGCCCTTCAGCGTTGCTACCCCCAGCGCAGCTCTTACTGCGGGCCACTCCAACAGCTGTCTATCCTGTCAGGGACTATGCGGCGCAAACATCTCCTTCGCGAAGGCAGGCGCTGCCACCGGGCGCATCATGGCAGTCATTGGCGCAGTGGTGGACGTCCAGTTTGATGAGGGCCTACCACCCATCCTAAATGCCCTGGAAGTGCAAGGCAGGGAGACCAGACTGGTTTTGGAGGTGGCCCAGCATTTGGGTGAGAGCACAGTAAGGACCATTGCTATAGATGGTACAGAGGGCTTGGTTAGAGGCCAGAAAGTACTGGATTCTGGTGCACCAATCAAAATTCCTGTTGGTCCTGAGACTTTGAGCAGAATCCTGAATGTCATTGGAGAACCTATTGATGAAAGAGGTCCCATCAAAACCAAACAATTTGCTCCCATTCATGCTGAGGCTCCTGAATTAATGGAAATGAGTGTTGAGCAGGAAATTCTGGTGACTGGTATCAAGGTTGTGGATCTGCTAGCTCCCTATGCCAAGGGTGGCAAAATTGGACTTTTTGGTGGTGCTGGAGTTGGCAAGACTGTACTGATCATGCAGTTAATCAACAATGTTGCCAAAGCCCATGGTGGTTACTCTGTGTTTGCTGGTGTTGGTGAGAGGACCCATGAAAGCAATGATTTATACCATGAAATGATTGAGTCTGGTGTTATCAACTTAAAAGATGCCACGTCTAAGGTAGCCCTGGTATATGGTCAAATGAATGAACCACCTGGTGCTCGTGCCCGGGTAGCTCTGACTGGACTGACTGTGGCTGAATACTTCAGAGACCAGGAAGGTCAGGATGTATTGCTATTTATGGATAACATCTTCTGCTTCACCCAGGCTGGTTCAGAGGTGTCTGCCTTAATGGGCAGAATCCCTTCTGCTGTGGGCTATCAGCCTACCCTGGCCACTGACATGGGTACTATGCAGGAAAGAATTACCACCACCAAGAAGGGATCTATCACTTCTGTACAGGCCATCTATGTGCCTGCTTAAAATACTGGTAAGCCGATTGCAACAGCACATCAAAAAACTTATCCATCATGATCAAGTAGGATTAATCCTGGGAATGCAAGGCTGGTTCAACATACACAAGTCTATAAATGTAATTCACCACATAAACAGAACCAAAAACAAAAACCACATGATTATCTCAATTGATGCAGAGAAGGCATTTGACAAAATTCAACAGCCCTTTATGCTAAAAACCCTCAATAAACTCAGTATCGATGGAACATATCTCAAAGTAATAAAAGCTATTTACGACAAACCAACAGCCAATATCATACTAAATGGGCAAAAACTGGAAGCATTCCCTTTGAAATCTGGCACTAGACAAGGATGCCCTCTTTCACCACTCCTATTCAATATAGCACTGGAAGTTCTAGCCAGAGCAATCAGGCAAGAAAAAGAAATAAAGGGTATTCAAATAAGAAAGGAGGAAGCCAAATCGTCTCTATTTGCAGATGACATGATAGTATACCTAGAGGACCCCATCGCCTCAGCCCAAAAACTCCTGAAACTGATAAGCAACTTCAGCAAAGTCTCAGGATATAAAATCAATGTGCAAAAATCACAAGCATTCCTATACACCAATAACAGACTTAAAGAGAGCCAAATCAAGAACGAACTGCCATTCACAATTGCTACAAAAAGAATAAAATACCTTGGAATACAACTTACAAGGAACGTAAGGGACCTCTTCAAGGAAAACTACAAACCACTGCTCAACGAAATAAGAGAGGACACAAACAGATGGAGAAACATTCCATGTTCATGGTTAGAAAGAATCAATATCGTGAAAATGGCTATACTGCCCAAAGTAATTTACAGATTCAACGCTATCCCCATCAAGCTACCATTGACTTTCTTCACAGAACTGGAAAAAACCACCATGAACTTCATATGAAACCAAAAGAGAGCCCACATAGCCAAGTCAATTCTAAGCAAAAAGAACACAGTGGGAGGCATCACACTACTGGACTTCAAACTATACTACAAGGCTACAGTAATCAAAACAGCATGGTACTGGTACCAAAACAGAGATATAGAACAATGGAACAGAACAGAGGCCTTGGAGGCAACACAACATATCTACAATCATACAATCTTTGATAAACCTGAGAAAAACAAGCAATGGGGAAAGGACTCCATGTTTAATAAATGGCGTTGGGATAACTGGCTAACCATATGCAGAAAGCAGAAACTGGACCCCTTCCTGACACCTTACACTAAAATTAACTCCAGATGGATTAAAGACTTAAATATAAGACCTGGCACCATAAAAACCCTAGACGGAAAATCTAGGCAACACCATTCAGGACATAGGAGTAGGGAAGGACTTCATGACCAAAACACCAAGAGCGTTGGCAACAAAAGCCAAAATAGACAAATGGGACCTAATCAAACTCCACAGTTTCTGCACGGCAAAAGAAACAGTCACTAGAGTGAATTGGCAACCAACAGAATGGGAAAAAATTTTTGCAGTTTACCCATCTGACAAAGGGCTGATATCCAGAATTTATAAAGAACTCAAACGGATTTACAGGAAAAAAACAAATAAGCCCATTCAAAAATGGGCAAAGGATATGAACAGATACTTTTCAAAAGAAGACATATATGAGGCCAACAAACATATGAAAAAATGCTCATCATCACTGGTCATTAGAGAGATGCAAATCAAAACCACATTGAGATACCTTCTCACGCCAGTTAGAATGGCGATCATTAAAAAATCTGGAGACAACAGATGCTGGAGAGAATGTGGAGAAATAGGAACACTTTTACACTGTTGGTGGGAGTGTAAATTAGTTCAACCATTGTGGAAGACAGTGTGGTGTTTCCTCAAGGCCTTAGAAATAGAAATTCCATTTGACCCAGCAATCCCATTACTGGGTATATATCCAAAGGACTATAAATCATTCTACTACAAGGACACATGCACACGAATGTTCATTGCAGCACTGTTTACAATAGCAAAGACCTGAAACCAGCCCAAATGCCCATCGATGATAGACTGGATTGGGAAAATGTGGCACATATACACCATGGAATACTATGCAGCAATCAAAAAGGATGAGTTTGTGTCCTTTGTAGGGACATGGATAAATTTGGAGAACATCATTCTCAGCAAACTGACACAAGAACAGAAAATGAAATACCGCATATTCTCGCTCATAGGCGGGTGATGAAAAAAGAGAACACATGGACACAGGGAAGGGAGTACTACACACTGGGGTCTATTGGGGGGAATAGGGGAGGGACAGCGGTGGGGGGGAAGGGGGGAGGGATAGCCTGGGGAAAAATGCCAAATGTGGGTGAAGGGGAAGACGGCAGCAAAACACACTGCCATGTGTGTACCTATGCAACTATCTTGCATGTTCTGCACATGTACCCCAAAACCTAAAATGCAAGTTAAAAAAAAAAGAAATAAAGTGAAATAAAATACAAAAAAAAAAGAAGTGTAGCTTTGTAGGTATTGATATATTAATAGTAATTCTCTGAGACATATTTTTGAGTAAAAAAGCAGGGTGCAAAGGTTAGTACTGTGTAAGAGGGGTAGGTAGGGCTGGGGAGGATATGTATAGATGTATTTGTATGTGCACAGACTTGCTTTTGATCAATACATATGAAACTGATAATAGTTGTCTGCAGGAGGAGCACTGAAGAGGTGGAAATTAAGGAATAGGATTTTAAAAGACTTTCACTCTACTCTTTTATTCCTTTCAAATTTTGTGCCATATATCTGGTTTTTGTTTTCTTTTATTTATTAAGACAGGGTCTCACTCTGTTACCCAGGCTGGAATGCAGTGGCACAATCATGACTCACTACAGCCTTGACCTCCTGGGCTCAAGCAATCCTCCTGCCTTAGCCTCCTGAGCACCTGGGACTACAGGTGCATGCCACCGTGCCCAGCTACTTTTTTTTTTTTAGAGATGGAGTTTCACTATGTTGCCCAGGCTGGTCCCAAACTCCTGGGCTCAAGCAATCCTCCCACCTTCACCTCCCAAAGTACTGGGATTACAGACTTGAGCCACCATACCTGGCCTATATCTGTTTTTCCATTCTAAATAAGATGTCTTGAAAGGAATTGCAATGGGAAAATATCAAGAGGACAATGGCTTTTCTACATTATGTGAAATCAAGGTTCGAAAGGACAGCCACTTGAATTCTCTCCAAATTGTGATTCGGATATAGCTTTGTTAGTCAGTGCTCTTCCCTGTGAGCCCAAGATGACAGGGCCTGTGAATGTTGTCTTTCTTATAGGATGTGCTTAACAAATATGTTAGATACTAGATTAGGATTCCAACCCAAAGAGTAGAAAAGTGGAAGAGCCATGGATAGAAATGGACAGATCAATGTAAAAGGAAGACTCAGAGACAAAAAGCATTTAGGAGTGAAAAGAAGGTTCCCTGCAAAAATGTTCCAAGTGAGTCAGATTTCAAAAAGACCAGCTCAGAGCCTTGGAGCCAGTCTGCGCTTTTCACATTAAGACTATATACACAGTAAGAGTCTCAAGAGGGTTGTGGAGAGAGATGAAGCTGGAGAGGTGGACAGGGCCAAGTTTTCATAGGCCTTAGAAGCCATGGGAAGGAGAGAGAAGAAGTTAGAAACGGAAAGAACAAACATTGTTGAGACTACTTTGGCTTCAAGAGATGGAGAGCTAAATAAAATAGGTAATTTATTGGCTTGGGTAACTGGAAAGTCCAGAGACTCAACTATAACATCAGGATATTCTTTCTCTTTCTCCACCCTCCCCCACACCCACTTTTCTGTGTTGGCTTTATTCTCTTGCAGACTCTTCCCACATGTTGGCTTCTGGCAACTCTAGCTTTGCAATTAACACATAAGTGTCCCCAACAGTTCCTAATCATTCCACTAAAAATCTCAGCACTAACTCATATTGGACAACCTGTGTCATATTCTGATCCCTAAAATGATCACTATTCCAAACACTAGTAGGTCAGGCAAAGATCATATGATAACCCTTACAGGTCATTTTAATATTATGGACCAAAAGTGAGGGAGGGATGGGTCCCCAAAGAAATCAGGATGCTGTTTCCAAACACAAAGAAACTGAATATTTGAAAATAATAAAAATAATGACAGTCGTTATGGGCAAAATCAAAATCAAATGACAGCTGTTCCCTTCCTTAAAAAAAATTGGAAAGAACATTTGGAGGCAAAAAAAAGTTAAGATGAAGGTTGGGGAGATTGTGGGAGCAAGCTCTGGAAGAAATGGAAGGGATGGTGTTTGGATGGAAACGCTGTCAGTAGAGAGTAGTTATGGACTCTAAGAGCTAAGGAGGATCCTGGAGGCCCTCTAGTCCAATCTCCCCAACCTCTCCTATTCAAGCGTCCCCCACTGCCTCCTCCCCAAAAAACAAATTAGGACCCCTTACGTGACCATTTAAGCTCTACTTGAACATATTCAGTAACAGATAGTTAATGATTTTGGAAAGTATTTAATTTTTTTCATTTGTCCAAATGTATGGGATACATGAGAAAATAATTAATTTTGTTCTCATATGGGTCTGATTCTTTAAAATGTCTGCTTTTCATTGAGCTTAAATCTAGTACTCAGTGTGCCCTCTGAATTAACAAACCATGAGGCTACTCCTTCTTTCATCAGACGATCCTTTAAGTGTTGGAAGACACTTCACTTCTGCTCCAGTCTTTTCTCTCTTAGCCAAGTACAACCAGTTCTTTTGACCACATATCAGGTGACATGATTTCCAGACTTCTCTTAACCTAGTTGTCTGTCTTTGGATTCATGCTAGTTTGCGTGTGTCTCTCTTTAAAATGTGCTTAAATATAAGCCTCCAGAGGGGGTTCAACCACTGCTGAGTTCAGTGGGACCACTGATTTCCTTTATCTGGACACTACACATACTTTGCTAATGCAACCTAAGATTGCACTGGCTTTTTTTTTTTCATCACTGTATATAACTCACTCATTTTGAGCTTATGACCATTAAAATCCCCAAGTCTTTTTCCTCATGAATGGCTGAC